CGAAGGGATGGATATCCCTTATACAGGACGATATCAGGTGGCTGGCATTCTTTTGTCCAGAAGTCCCCATCGATGACGACGTTTGGCCCCGCTTTGTCCGTGCAGAACCGAAGGGCTTCCGCACTGCTCTCTCCAGTGCCATTACCAAGGCCAAACGATACTATCATGACGTTGCTCATCATGAGGTGTGGAAGCATACTCTACGCACTCTTGCTCTCCATACTCCCCTCGCCTCGTCTTCTTCCCCTGATGCAGCCCGTTTTGTTTGCTATGAATGTGGACATGTCTCTTCCTCGGCTCATCAATATCTTGCACACATAGGTAAATTTCATAAGTCTGCCACTTCCCCTACCATGTTGGCTACGGGGACGTGTTGTCAGGTTTGTCTTAAGGATTTTCGTCACGTGTCCCGCCTAGTGAAACATTTATCCAATGCGCCAGCGTGCAAGTTGGCGTGGATAGATTCTGGGCATCGACCCACTAGTGAAGAGCTTTCTCAGGCTAGAGAGGAGGCCCGCTCAGAGGCGGCAACCAATCGACGGGCTGGCAGATCAGAGACCTTTGCTGCTCTGCCTTGGCTTCAGCGTGCTGGACCTCCCATTCATCCCAGAACCCATGTAAGGCGAGCGCGTCGCGATTTGGTCCCACCTGTTGCCCCGAGCCTTGATCCTCCTGCCCCTTGCGAGAGGCCTCCCAGGGCCCCCGTAAGACCCCTCAAATTTTTATTGCTTCTTTCCTCTCAACATAGGCACGAGGGGGACCTCCAAGACCACATCGAGAAGCTCCAGGGTCCCTTTCCCGCACGTTTAGCAGTATTACGCGTTGATGCATCTCTTGACACACATCTCGGAGATCTCACAGACATACATATCACTGCCATATGGACAAATATGATCAGATCGGGAAGGGTCTGTGCAGTAGTCGCGGGACCTCCAGCTGACTCATGGGCGATCGCCAGGCGCCAACATTCGTCGGAAACGAGGCTTGCGACTAGATCGCTCCGTCCGGAAGAGCATTTGTGGGGCCTTGGCCACCTCTCATCGATTGCGAGCAAGCAAGTCACCACAGGCAACAAACTTCTTCGTGCTGCTCTCTCTCTCTCTCTCTACTATATGTGTGTTGGAAATATCATGTTCCTGCTCTCCTCTCCCATCCAGCACATGCGGACTATGTACCAGGCAGCCCAAGCATATGGCTTCTCCCTGAGGTCAAGGATTTAAGTCTCTTGGAAGGGGTACGGACCCACACCATCCACCAGTGTCGCTTTGGGGCCCCTCGAAAGAGACCCACCACCTTGCTTGCGGTCCATCTTCCCACGTTGGCCACCTGGCTCAGTGATCTAAGGGAGGGGGGGACACTTTGTAATCATCGCCCACATCCCCCTGTCCCCTCAGAGCGACACGGTGGATGGCTAGATACCTCACCTGCGCAGGCTTATCCCAGAGCCCTGAACAAAATGTTTGCTGCCACGCTGTTCCAGCAAATTCGTGATCGATTCCCCGAGCTTTGTGCTTTCTTAGCGGGCGGTGTTCCTCTTGGCGCATCCATGGGCACATTCCATGACACCAGGCCGCTACAGTGGTCGCTGCGAGAGGAGAGTACGCTTCGACACTGTATCGACTTGCGCACTGACGATGAGGGGTGGGATCTCCCCCTGGGTCTTAGGAAGTTTCATGTGCCTTTGGATCCATATCTGGCATTACCACACGACGGAGATTTGAACCTTCGATCGGGCAGGCCACGCATCGACGGCCACCCAGCGGTACGAATACCAGTGGAGGACCCTACTCAGGCAAACCTCCCTTCCTCACTGACTGTTGCTCAATTGCGGGAAGGGCCTTCGCATGAAGGCGATGCCCTGACCTAGTTGGTCAGTGCCAGTGTCCATTCACTTTAAAAAATAGTAATGCGAAGGTGTCACACTAAGCAGTGTGGCGCGCCATAGGCAGTACCGCGCAACCTGGGCGAAGGTCTCTGCTTTGCCTTGCTTTCTCTCTGCACTTCCTTTGTCTTGGCTCGTGCGCCATAGGCAGTACCCCAGGTTCGCTTTGGATCAGCATCACTCCACTGCGAGTACGTGCTCTACTTCCTTTGTCCATTTCATCTCGTTCTCTTCTCTGTATAGGCTTCGAACCGTCCGCCTCATGATGAATGAATGAATGAATGAATGAATGAATGAATGAATGAATGAATGAATGAATGAATGAATGAATGAGGAGGAGGAGGAGGAGGAGGAGGAGGAGGAGGACCGATGTTTGAATAAACCCTCCCTCCAAGCTCCCTCTTAATAGGCCCCTACAACGGTTCATTTTTACTGAGGGAACTGCCTCGTTGGAAGTCAACTGTTTGAAGACCCTGAAGCATGCAAAAACATTGTTCTCGGGATTTCAACGTCACGGACCAACCTGACTGTTGCGCCTTGACGATCCTGAATCGTGCCAGAACGCCATTCCTGGGACTTGAACACCGCAAATCATCAAAAATTGTGCACCCTCCTAAGCCTGAATCCACAATGTCTGGTACTTTGGTCATGGGAATCCGTGAAACTCTTGCAAATGTTTAGGAAGAATGTGCGGGGCGCTTAGGCGAGAGCCACATTTTGAAAGGGGACCGCCCTCAATCGGTGAAACTCTTGCAAATGTTTGAAACGAATGCGTGCGGCGCTAAGGCGAGAGCCACAATTTGAAAACCACTCGCCCTCAATCCGCGAACCTCTTGCAATTGTTTAAGACGAAGGCGCGCGGCGCGAGGGCGAGAGACACAGTTTGAAAAAGGCCCACCCTCCATATGTGAAACTGCTGCCAACTTTTAGGCTTCAGAATCATACATGGTGAGGAAGTCTCAGGCGAAATGCCCGGCCCGCCCTAAAAACTGGCCTCGGGTGCGACAGGGAGAAGCGATTTATAAGGAGAAGCAATGGAGGAGGAGGAGGAGGAGGAGGAGGAGGAGGAGGAGAAGGAGGAGGAGGAGGACGAGGAGGAGGAGGCGGACCAGCAGTAGGAGCAGGAGGAGCAGGACGATGAGGAGAAACTTCAGCAGCAGCAGCAGCAGCAGGAGGAGGAGGAGGAGGAGGGGGAGGAGTCTTCGGTGGAAACTCCTGGGAGCCTCCCCTACCATCTTGCTGGCCCTCGCGAATCGACGCTAGCCGACGCTAAATTGGTGCGAATCGACGAAATCGGCGCCATCCCAGAGATCTCCCGACGCTAATCGACGCCCTGAACATGGAATTGCGAGGGTATACAAAGCCTCCTTAGTTTGCTACCGACGGGGTCGTAGATGGAGAAGGAGGAGGAGGAGGAGGAGGAGGAGGAGGTACAGGACCTGCAGGAGGCAGAGGCGAAGGACAGGGAGGCACGATTACAGGGTGCAGGAAGACCCTCAACAGCGTACGCTGCCCAAAAGCACACGTGGTGAGTCACCATCACCAAGGGCATATTTGGCGTGGTTGGTCAATTAATCAAGCAACGCACGGCACGGCAGGGCGCGCGGGCACGGCACAGAACGTCTGTCGCAGTCTGACCCTTCTCTCAAGCACGGCACAACAACCACGGAAACACACAGCTCCCTCATCTCAAACCCGATCACGCAACGGCACGGCAAGGCGCCACGCAGGCACGGCACGGCACAGCTGCCCGCGCTCTGGAACCTCGGCACGGCACGGCGCATTATTCCGCATTCTAGAACATGGGCACGGCACGGCACACGCATTCCAGCACGTAGGCACGCCACGGCACGGCACGCGGGCACGGAGTACACAGCTTTTGCTCTCCTGTGCACGGCACGGCTCGCGGGAACGGCACGTCCCCTGTTTCTTTTGCGCTCTACAAGCTGCCGCATTCTAGCATTAAGGCACGGCTTGCGGGTATGGCACGGCACGGGACATTTCTTGCATTCGGGCACGGGCACTGCACATTCCCCGCATTCTAGAACCTACGCACGGCTCGGCACCGCACGGCACGGCACGCGGGTACGACTCGGCCGATACAGTTGTTGCATTGTTGTGCAATCTGAAACCTAACCACGGCACGGCACACACGCCACGGCACAATACTCCGGTGTCAGATGTCAACATTCCGTTTCTCAAGTAGGACTCCTGGAATTTCGCAGTATGTTTCTCGCAGCTCAGACACCTTGCAGCACTCGCTGCTAGGAGATTTCAACGAACACTCGGACGAACCAGCAGCAGGATGATAGCACACCGCACACTAGAAAATGCATTGGCCCGACCGCAGAACGCCAATCGCATCAAAGACGCGCAAAGTGAGAAGCCCAATAATGGATTTCATGGACGTGACGAGTAGAAGACCAGCAAATGTCATCTCAGTATCCTCTCTCAGCTCCTCACCCTTACTCTTCTTGTTGCTCGCGTGCCGCAGTCACGGCTGCAGTCTGCCAGATGTCGCAACGACCACTTCCCACTCGCCCCACGTGCCACCCCTTACCCTCTGCTGCATCCTTCTTCCTCGACTCTCCTCCTGCTCGCCCTCTCCTTTTGTTTCTCTTGCTCGCGCCCCCTCCTCCTCGCCATCCCCATCCTCTTTCCTTGACCCCGAAGGCCCGAGAACAACACGAACTCCTTTGTAACCCTTCCAGAGCCCTGGGAAAGAACGCACCCGACAGCTCAGGACGGAAGGAGAGGAGACACCCGACCACGAGGAAGACGACGGTGGCGACCTCGACGACGACGACGGCGACGAAACAAATATGAGGCTAGGAACACGACAGCGAAGACGACAGCAAAGGGCGACGCCCGAGACGACACCAACTAGGGCGAGACCGTGGACGGCCACGGCGGTGCTGAAGACCACGGTGACGACGGCGGCGATGACGGCGGCGCGGACAGGGGCGACGACGGCGACGGCGACCTTGGCGACAACGACGACGGCGACGACGATGGAGTCGACGGTGGCGACGAAACCCGTCACAACGGCGACGACAAGGACGGCGACGACGACGATAACGACGACGAGGACGACGGCGACATCCACAGAGGCCCGGGCACGTCGCGAAGCGCTCGCTGACGGGCGGATTGGCTGCGCCACCTGCCGCGGGGCCAGATGCCGGGCCAGCCATGTGGCACGCCGCGTGCGTGGCGCATGCACGCCCGCCCCCCCCCCCTCACCCCCCCCAACCCACACACACACACACACACACATACACACATACACACGCACACACACGCACACTCACATACACACACACACACACACACGCACACACACGCACACTGTTTGGCCGCCGCGGCCTCGCGCGCAGCGACGAAGCGGAGAAAGTCAGGCCAAGAGAGCCGAGAGAACAACGATCCAGTGATGGATCGACCGTGCCATTCGCAAACCCCGTACAAGCACACAGTGTGTTCCAACGCAGCGAGAAAGCAAAAGCGGGACGCGCTAAGAGTCATTACTGATTACCATCCAACGTGTGCCGACAGGGGTCAGACCGACGGGCGGGCGACGGATGCAAGTAAAAAGTGCCATCGGCCATGCACACGGAACAAACAATGGCAGACACGTATGGAAATTCAACAGAGCTACACCCAATGTACGCGCGCCGTTTGGGCTGGCGATGGGGCAGGAGGAAGCAGCATGGATCATTGCGCAAGAGACACGGGACAAATAAACGCACTACCCCACGTGATGTCTTCCACCCCCACCGTGGGAAATTGTCATGCTGGCTCGACGTTTGGCGGCACCCTGGTGCCAAAACGGGCCCCCGGATGCCGAACATGTCGAAAAGCCTGTTCAAAGCTCGAACTCCGATCGATCGACGAGGACGGCGACGACGACGGCAGCGGCAACGACGACGACGACGACGACGGCGGCGGTGGCGACAGCAACGACGAAGGCTGCGGCGTCGACGACGGCTGCGGCGACGACGACGACGCCGGTGGCGGCGACGGCGGCGGAGGCGGCGACGGCGTCGTCGTCGTAATCGTCGTCGTCGTCGTCGTCGTCACCCTCGAAAGCTCCTCGTCGTCGTCGTCGCTCGCTCAACGCAGTCGCCGTCGCCGTCGCCGTTGCAGTCGCCAACGCCGTCGCCGCCGCCGCCGCCGTCGTCGTCGTCGTTGCCGTTGCCGTCGCCGTCGCCGTCGCCGTCGCCGTCGCCGTCGTCGGCGTCGCCGTCGCCCCGGCCGCCGCCGTCGCCGTCGCCGCCGCCGCCGCCGTCGGCATCATCGTCGTCGTCGTAGTTAAGCTAAACTTTCGTCGCCGCCACTCGGTCGTCGTCGTCGTCGTCGCTCGGCAGTCGTCGTGGACCGCTCGTCGACCGCTCGTCGTCGTCGCTCACTCGGGGTCGTCGCTCGCTGGAGGTCGTCGTCGGCACTGCGGGGGCCGCCTGCGCCGCCCGCCCACTCCACGAAGCGCACCACGCCGGGCAGCTCCACCCGGGCCAGCTCCCTGAGGGAAGGCGGGGCCGGCCGTGCCGAGGTGCCTCGGCTCTGCCTAGGAGGGAGGCAGGCAGGGGGAGGAGTCGAGGATCGAGGGGGGGGAGGGATGGGCCGAAGATCGAGGAGGGAGGGGGGGAGGGGAGGAGTCAAGGATCGAAGAGGGAGGGAAAAGGAGGAGGGGATGAGGAGGAAGAGTCGAGGATCAAATGAGTCGAGAGTCGAGAAGGGATGAGGAGCAAGAGGAGGAGGAGGAGGAGGAGGAGGAGGAGGAGGGGAAACGAGGGGGCAAGAGGAGGCAGAGGAAATTGGAGGCCTCCCAAATAGGGTCCGAGCAGATGGGGTCGGTGGGTTGCGCCGCATCGCCGATGCATCGACTTTGAATCGGCGATGCGTCGGCAACGTCGGCGATGCATCGGGCGCCGCGGGCGTGGAGAGAATCTTGCGCGACATCGGTCCGCGAAGCCGATGCATCCGCGATACGGCGCGATCATTCGACCCAATCTACTCTGACCCCGTTTGGGACTCCTCCTCCTTGGTGCCATCCAACTCCCCCTCCTCATCTTTCTCCTCCTCTTCTTCCTCCTCCTCTTCTTCCTCCTCCTCCTCCTCCTCTTCTTCTTCTTAGTGTTGGTAGTATTATTACTAGTATTGTTATTATTATCAGTATTATTATTCTTATTACTATTATTATGTTTCTTCTCATGAGTATTCTTCTTATTCTTATTCGTTTTATCAGTATTCTTCTTCTTCCTCCTCCTCCACCTCGTCCTCCTCCTCCTTCTCCTCCTCCTTCTCCCATCCTCCTCCTATCATTGGTGCTACCAAAAGAATCGTCGAGGCTGCCTGTACGTTATTGCGTCTCTTGGTGCACGTTCTGATTCCGATGGGGCTTCCGCGCCTGCCAAACATAAAATGTCAGTCACTCGCTGCCATCCTCGTCTTGGGCGGTGTGTTGGCAAGCGCCTTGGGTCCCTGGGATAGCAATATGCTACTGCTCTGGAAGTTCTGGGTATCGAAATGTGTTCTGGGCGCCCCCTTCAGTACACCCGCCTCCGTAAGAGAGTTCAGAAGACTGGGCAACGTCTACCTCGACTGCGCGTGGTCCGCAAGGCTGGGCACCTTGTCTCTAGACTTGCGTAGCAGGCGTTTCCCTCGGCTATGCAATATGGAGTTGGGGTGCACGGCGTCTCCCCGTGGCTTGCCGAGAAGATGAGAGGTATCATGCGCAACACCTGGTGTACTCCAGGTGCTACGACTTGGGCCTGGTTTACCTCTAGTCTCCAGGGCTCCATGTTTGAGGATCCTCAGATTTCATGTTGGACTCTATGTGTCTTCCAGTGGGCTCTACGATGCAGAGATAGAGGTATGACGCATGACACCTTGCAGCGGGCCGCAAACTACAAGTTTCTCGCGCCCTTCAGGCTGAGCGGCCATGGGACAGAGTTTGCGGCACCACTGGTGCCATGCTGCTTTCTTTGGGCGCGCGCTTGGATGGAGAACAACGTCTGCGTTCCTACTCACCACTGGCGCAAGTGATCGTCTGGACTTAAGTTTTGATGCCCCCCTAACAGTTCGAGACCTTGCTCGGTATGCAGGAGTGAGGGAGATGTGGACTGGCTCGGCGTCTCGCTCGAACCCTGCTGATGAAGGCGTGGACCCCAAGGAACTCCAAGGGTGCTGGATCGAGCCCGTCGTAGGTCTTTTTTGTTGACACCTACCCGACCCTCAGGACTCTGAAGGTACGGACGACGGCGGCAATGTTCGGACTCGTGTTTGGAAACTATCGATCATGGAGGCTGGGCTTCTCACGGCTACTGTTGGGGGCGGGTTGTGATCACCGCATCGGTCAAATATGTATTCACGCATGTGCACGCCCATCATGATGCCCAGGGTGCCCGTGTGAAATGTGGAATCGTTATAACTGTTACTGGGAGAGCCCGTCGCGCCAAGGACAGCAGACCCTCGCCATTGCTAGTATCGATGCGCGTGGACTTCCACCTCGCACTCGAGGCTCTTGGTGTTGCAACCGTGGACTTGCCCCACGGTCGTGCTTCCCGCTGCTGCCGCCACGGTATGACAACCGACGCGGGCACATGCTATGCGGTTCCCTCGACCAGATTACGGGGGACACTTACACTGACGGAGCTTGCAAAACAATGCGGTACTGGCCAGAAGCTACCAGAGCTGGGGGGGGGGTCGTCAAATATGAGTTGCGTTCCTACCAGTCTGTGGTATATAGAGCCCTTTCAGGACCAGTTCAGAGTTCACCCCGTGCTGAGCTTTACGCGGTTTTGCAAGTTCTAGAAATGTGCGGTTTGCCCATTCGGGTTTCCACCGATCCCCTGGGCCTGGTTGAAGGTTTGGACCTGGGCCCCGTGTTCACTCGCGGCCCTCGGCGGCCAAACACGAACGTTCGGGAAGCCATCTGGCGTAACATCGACGACCACTGCGGCCTTGGAGAAGCCCTGCAAATCTTGCACGTGCGAGGTCACCAGAGCGGGGACTCTCTCGAAACTCATTCGAATCAGTGGGCGGACTGTACCGCTCGGAATGGAACAAACGTCCACAGCGCGCCCGTGTCTTCCGTCAAGGCCATGCGCATTGTGCGCAAGTCCGTGCGTGGCGTGTTGCAGTGGCTCGTAGTGCACGCACACATCACTTTACGTTCTGCCGAATCTTGATTTTCAAGCACCCTCGGAAACTTCGGAAGCCGAAGGTGGTTTGTTCCGAGCAGCAGCCTGTAGAGCATCATGCGCGTCACGCTTTCACTCAACAGCGCTCTGATTTCTGGAGATGGGACTATTGTAAGAAAGGGGTCGAGAGGGACAAGCAGAGACGGCATTTTCTCACTTGGGTTTGCCATGCACGTGTGCCCGTGGCCCCTCGTCTGGAGCCTGCCGAGGTCTCTCCCGACGTGGAGAGACCTAAGCAATAACGCGCTGAGCCTGGTTCCTCGTGGGACCGTCGGGTCCGTGGCCATGCTGACCTGGATGCCGTCCGTGCTCGCTCGATCTCGCCTGTCACTCGCAATGTCCGACAGCGGACGAATCTCAACCCTGTGGTAGAAATTCACACTCGGGATGCCTCCCAACTGGCGACTGCGGTCCAGGCCGCCCTCACCTTCTCGGTTGAGCCTCCTCCCAAGCGCCAGGGCGCTGGACGGCGGCCAGGCCGAGCAAAGATCGCTGATGCGACGGTCCCTGTTGTTATCCTGCCTTCCGGGGGCATGGTGATGTCCCGCCACGCTCGCGGTCCCTTTCCATGGGCGTCTCCAGGGCATGGTGCTCTGTGTTCGAAGAGGTGTGGATGCTGTGCTGCAGGCCAGGCTGGCCAGCTTCTGCTAGATTTGAAGGGGAACTGGAACACACAAATAAATACACAAATAACAATATCCCCCATATTTTCCCATATTTTCTGGGTTTTTGTCTTCCCCACCACTTCCCATATTTTTGCATATTTTCCTGGGAATCGACGATTAATTGCGCACCTCCTGAAGATTGCGCACCCGCCGCCCCTCTTGGAGAGCACGCCCGACGGCATCGCGAGCTCTTCCCGGGCAGGCTCCGCCCCCTCGGACCAAGGGCGCCCGGGGCCCGGGAGGGCCCCCACAGCCCAGGCTGCCTGCGGCCCGCGACCCCGAAGCCGAGCGGCTGCGGTTCCTGCGAGCCCGATGGCTCCCTTCGGCGGCCCGAACACCTCCTCGCACCGCCGCAGCTCGCTCTGCTTGTCCCTTGGGCGCATCGCGGCCGACGGCTTGAGGACGAAGGGCGCCCGGGGCCCAGGAGGGCCCCACAGCCCAGGCTGCCTGCGGCCAGCGACCCCGAAGCCGAGCGGCTGCGGCTCCTGCGAGCCCGATGGCTCCCTCGGCGGCCCGACACCTCCTCGCACCGCCGCAGCTCGCTCTGCTTTTCCTTGGCGCATCGCGGCCGACGGCTTGAGGACGAAGGGCGCCCAGGGCCCAGGAGGACCCCACAGCCCAGGCTGCCTGCGGCCAGCGACCCCGAAGCCGAGCGGCTGCGGCTCCTGCGAGCCCGATGGCTCCCTCCGCCGCCCGACACCTCCTCGCACCGCCGCACCTCGCTCTGCTTTTCCTTGGCGCATCGCGGCCGACGGCTTGAGGGCGAAGGGCGCCCAGGGCCCAGGAGGATCCCACAGCCCAGGCTGCCTGCGGCCCGCGACCCCGAAGCCGAGCGGTTGCGGCTCCTGCGAGCCCGATTGCTCCTTCGGCGGCCCGAACACCTCCTCGCACCGCCGCAGCTCGCTCTGCTTTTCCTTGGGCGCATGGCGGCCGACGGCTTGAGGACGAAGGGCGCCCAGGGCCCAGGAGGACCCCACAGCCCAGGCTGCCTGCGGCCCGCGACCCCGAAGCCGAGCGGCTGCGGTTCCTGCGAGCCCGATGGCTCCCTTCGGCGGCCCGAACACCTCCTCGCACCGCCGCAGCTCGCTCTGCTTGTCCCTTGGGCGCATCGCGGCCGACGGCTTGAGGACGAAGGGCGCCCGGGGCCCAGGAGGGCCCCACAGCCCAGGCTGCCTGCGGCCAGCGACCCCGAAGCCGAGCGGCTGCGGCTCCTGCGAGCCCGATGGCTCCCGTCGGCGGCCCGAACACCTCCTCGCACCGCCGCAGCTCGCTCGGCTTTTCCTTGGCGCATCGCGGCCGACGGCTTGAGGGCGAAGGGCGCCCAGGGCCCAGGAGGACCCCACAGCCCAGGCTGCCTGCGGCCCGCGACCCCGAAGCCGAGCGGTTGCGGCTCCTGCGAGCCCGATGGCTCCCTCGGCGGCCCGAACACCTCCTCGCACCGCCGCAGCTCGCTCTGCTTTTCCTTGGGCGCATGGCGGCCGACGGCTTGAGGACGAAGGGCGCCCAGGGCCCAGGAGGACCCCACAGCCCAGGCTGCCTGCGGCCCGCGACCCCGAAGCCGAGCGGCTGCGGTTCCTGCGAGCCCGATGGCTCCCTTCGGCGGCCCGAACACCTCCTCGCACCGCCGCAGCTCGCTCTGCTTGTCCCTTGGGCGCATCGCGGCCGACGGCTTGAGGACGAAGGGCGCCAGGGGCCCAGGAGGGCCCCGCAGCCCAGGCTGCCTGCGGCCCGCGACCCCGCAGCCGAGCGGCTGCGGCTCCTGCGAGCCCGATGGCTCCCGTCGGCGGCCCGAACACCTCCTCGCACCGCCGCAGCTCGCTCTGCTTGTTCCTTGGGCGCACCGCGGCCGACGGCCTGAAGCGGGGCGCGAGCGAGGGGCGCCCGCCGCGCGCCCCCCCGCGCTCGCACACCGCCCTCTGCTCACCTTCCCGGCCCGCCGCACGCCGCGGGGCCGCCCCTGCCCCTCTGCTGTTCTTCTTCCGCCGCCGCCTGGCCTCTCCGAGGTCCTCTGCATGGAGGCCTGCGACGGTGCAGGCGAGGGGGGGCGGGGTGAGCCCTGCCCCATTCTCTGTGTCGGGCTTGTGCACCCGCGCGGCCGCTCCACAGCGTCGTATCCCTCCCACTCCTCACCCCCTCCTCTCACAGCTTTCCCTCGTCCTCGGCCAAGTTCGGCCTCTCGTCGCCTGTCCCGGGCCCCGGAACTGCAGAAGACCCCATCCAGGATGAAAAGCTGCCCAGAATCTACCCTGGGAGGGGCTCATGGACCCACATTGAGCGGATTTCGGCTGGATGAGCTAGGGCTCCCAACTTCGCGCTTCGCGCTGCGCGAAGCGCGAATAACTTCGCGCTCTCGCGCCGCCCTCCCAAAGGGAGAATAGGAGGACGAGGAGGAGGGGGAGAAGGAACGAGGACCGCGAAGCGCGAATAACTTCGCGCCCTCATGGGAGCCCTTGTTGAGCGGATTTCGGCTGGATGAGGGGTTGAAGGTCAACGCGTTCCACGGAGGCAGAGGGGAAGGGGGAGGGATCGACGGTCAAAGCACGGGGATGGGGTCGTCGAGAAGGAGGGAAAGGAGGGGAGAGGAGGAGGGAGGCCCTCTTCTTTTCCTCGAGAACGAGGATCAATTCAGGAAGATATCTCGGGCGCCGCGGCCTTGTCAGAGCGTTCCGGAACGCTCTGAGCGTTCCGGAACGGATTTGCCCTCGTCCCAGCCCCGTCCGAAACCCGCCCGAAACATCGAAAGCCGCCCGAAACCTCGAAAACCCGTCCGAAACCATCCGAAAACCGCCCGAACCCTCGAAAACCGCTGAAGACCTCACGGCTCTCCCACGGCTCGCGAGGCGCGGCCGCTGACGGCGGCGGCGACGCCGGCCAGAGGAGGATGACGATGGCGACGACGCCGCTAGCCGCCCACGGTCCTGTCGCGAGCCACGGCGGTCGAGAACCATGACGACGACGACGACGACGACGACGGCGTCCCAGTCGACGACGACGACGACGACGACGACGACGAAGACAGCGGCACGGATAGCGACAGAAACGGCGGCGGCGGCGACGGCGACGGCGTCGCCATTGACAACGACGACGACGACGACGACGACGACGACGACGACGACGACGACGGGAATGACGGCGGCGGCGACGGCGCCGCACTGAGCCCCTCCGCGCCCACCGCCCCCGCGCAGCGCGCGGGCACCTCGACGTCCTCGCCTCCCACACGATCACCAGCCGGTCCGCGCCGCTCGTCACCAGCCACCTCTGGGGGGGGGGGAGGGGGGAGAGAGGGCGGCCCGTGAGGCCAGCGTGGGTGGGCTGGAGCCCTCGGGCAGGGCGGCGAGATCTGTACAAATCCTCTGCTCCCTGGCCAGGCCCATCTTGCCGAGCCAGGAGGGCGTACACACAGCTCCTGGGTTCAGGATGGGCCTGGCCAGGGAGCAGTAGATACGTACAGATCTCATCGCCCGATCAGGGAGTGTGGTACAAATCGGCGTGGGGGTCAGGGCTTGAGAGGGGAGGACGGCTTCGAAAGGGCCCCCGCTGCGGCCTCCACATGATGCGCGGCGAGGCTGCAGGACCCAGGCGCGCCCAAGTCGAAGCCGAAGTTCGAGAGGCCCGGGGCCCGTGCTTCGGGAGGGCTGGGACGGGCCGAGGTGCCAGGATGCAAGGGTTCCCTTGGAGACGTACAGTCGAGGCTGCGCCAGAAAAAAACCTCTTTCAAGAACATGAGACCCTCTGTCGGCCCAAACACAGAAAACATCCGAGGGTACCCCCTCCCCAGGATGAACAATAACATCCAACAAGCACGAAAGGCATCAAGGTACCCTCCCCGAACCGACCTCGATCTTATCACTTGGTCCGACTATATGATCATGTTTGACTGTAGAGCAGATGTTCAAGATCGGGGCTCGAGGAAGAAGGGAGAGGACGAGGATCGAAGACGAGGGGGCGAGACAAGAGGAGGAGGAGGATCGAAGATTTTGACAGGCCTGTGAGGAAGATCGGAGGAACAGGGGAAGGAGGAAAACGATGGAGAGGGGGTGGTGGACGACGATGACGATGCCCGAATGCGAATGTCGTTCAAAACCGAGTGGAGGATTGGTACGCCCAGCATGGGGACGATGACGATGCCCGACTGCGAATATTGCCCAAAACCGGTAGAGGCCACCAATGAGCTGCGGCGACGCTGATAGCGAAACCTGTTGAACATTGGTAGAAAATGCCGTCGGTCTTCTTATGGATTGATTCCGTCCCCATGCCGATCCTCCCGAGAGTACAGTCCGACCTGGGACAGATTAACATCCCTGAAAAACATGAGACCCTGCGCCGGCTCAAACTGAAAAATGTTCGAGGGTGCCCTGTCCCAGGATGCACAAGAACATCTGACAAACGCGAAGGACATCAGGGTACCTTCCCCGAACCGACCTCGATCTTATCACTCGGTCCGACTGTAGACGAAGGAGAATAAGACAAACACGATGCAAACATAAACTGTGGGAGGTCCGCACGAATTTCTTGGGTCGGCACCTGACCCCGCTTCTGTCGCGCAGAGCGCGCCAGGGGCGGCGCAGGAGGCGCCGCCAGTAGAACCAGCGCCAGTAAAACGACACCCCTGCGGACCTCCTACGAATGTTCTATGCTTATGCTGTTCTGGTCGCCAACACCGCGCGTGAGTGCTTCATGATCTGAGGGCGAATCCCCCCTGTGTCTTTCTTCGGCGGCGCGTTCGGGGGGGAAAAGAGAAGGGGCGGACCTTCTCAGGAGGGTCGGAGGTACCCCAGCCTTGTGGGAAGTTGTCGAAACCTTTTCCCCGAAGACACAGAAAACCTCTCAGAAGGCCGAAGGCCTTCTGAGAGGCCCCGCCGCCTTCCGAGAAGGCCTTCTCCTCCTCACACTTCCCCCCCCCGCTCGCCGCCGACGTCTCCAAGGTCGCTCCCTTGACGCCGCCTTCTGAGAAGGCCTTCTCCTCCTCACTTCCCCCCCCCCCGCTCGCCGCCGACGCCTCCAAGGTCGCTCCCTTGATTCTCCCACTGCCACGTTGCCTCCGCCGCGCGGCTCGCAAGCCCAGACTTAAGTCGGGCGTGTCCCCCCACAGGGAGATTTTGGGCAAAAAGACAGAAACTACTCCAAAAATACCCCCCTCAATGGGCAAAGTAGTCAACAATCAACCCCGTACTACTTGTTCCCAACCATCCTGTGGTGTTGGGTCCTCGTTTTGAAAAGACAGCGCCCCGCGTCCCACCTCCGTCCTTCCTTCCTTCCTCCTCCTCCCCCTCCTTCCTCCTCCCCCTCCTTGCCTCTGCACTCGGCACACCTCACACGTTTCGTAGCCCCATAGGAGCTCCACCGAAGGCCCCAGTGGTTGCTCTCGCGTGCGTTTCCCCCACCCTGGGCAGCGTTTCGTGGCCCCATAGGGAGCTCCACCGAAGGCCCCCGTGGTTGCTCTCGCATGCGTTTCCCCCACCCTGGGCAGCGTTTCGTGGCCCCATAGGGAGCTCCACCGAAGGCCCCAGTGGTTGCTCTCGCATGCGCTTCCCCCACCCTGGGCAGCGTTCCGTGGCCCCATAGGGAGCTCCACCGAAGGCCCCAGTGGTTGCTCTCGCATGCGTTTCTCCCACCCTGGGCAGCGTTTCGTGGCCCCATAGGGAGCTCCACCGAAGGCCCCAGTGGTTGCTCTCGCATGCGGTTCCTCCATCCAGGGCAGCGTTTCGTGGCCCCACAGGGAGCTCCACCGAAGGCCCCAGTGGCTGCTCGCTCGCATGCGTTTCCCCCACCCAGTGCAGCGCTTCGTAGCCCCATAGGGAGCTCCACCGAAGGCCCCAGTGGTTGCTCTCGCATGCGCTTCCCCCACCCTGGGCAGCGTTCCGTGGCCCCATAGGGAGCTCCACCGAAGGCCCCAGTGGTTGCTCTCGCATGCATTTCCCCCACCCTGGGCAGCGTTTCGTAGCCCCATAGGGAGCTCCACCGAAGGCCCCAGTGGTTGCTGTCGCATGCGTTTCCCCCACCCTGGGCAGCGTTCCGTGGCCCCATAGGGAGCTCCACCGAAGGCCCCAGTGGTTGCTCTCGCATGCGTTTCCCCCACCCTGGGCAGCGCTTCGTGGCTCCATAGGGAGCTCCACCGAAGGCCCCAGTGGTTGCTCTCGCATGCGGTTCCTCCATCCAGGGCAGCGTTTCGTGGCCCCACAGGGAGCTCCACCGAAGGCCCCAGTGGCTGCTCTCGCATGCGGTTCCTCCACCCTGGGCAGCGTTTCGTAGACCCATAGGGAGCTCCACCGAAAGCGGCACCCACAACGCGTTACGAACAATTGCTGATGGTTGGGTCCTTCGCCAGGATAATTTACTATGTTTGAATTCCTCCTGCAGAGGGACAGGCCCGACTTAAGCCCAGACCGCGACGCGCGAAGCACGCTCACCTTCGCGCCCCCTCGGGCCACTGGGTCTCCAGAGATTTGCAGATGTTCCAGCTCCAGAGGTCCCTGGAGGCCTCTGAAGGCAAAGAGAGGGAGAGGGCACATCTAGGCCTTGATCCTCGGTTCTCGAACCTCCTCGATCCTCGAGGGTTTTCCTCCTCGTCCTCCGTGTTGCCCTCCTCCTTTCCCTGCTCGCCTCCATCCTCTGCTGCTCCTCATCCCCCTCCTCGTGATCCTGGTCCTGGGCCTGGCCCTCCTCCTCCTCCTCGCTTCCCCCTTTCTTCTCCACCATGCTTCCTCCTCCTCCTCCTCTTCCTCTTCCTCCTCCTCCTCCTCCTCCTCCTCCTCCTCCCCCTCCTCCCCGAACCTCTCTCGACCTCCTCCTCCTCCTCCTCGCCGCCCGCCTGCTCCCCCCCCCCGGGCGCCCCACGCCGCCCCGCCTGGAGTCGGCCGTGACGCTGCACGCCCACACGGCCCCCTGGTGGCCCGTGTAGGTGCCCAGCTGCTCCCCCTCGGCAAATCGCCCGCTCTCCGCGGCCGGCCGGCGGGCGCGCGAGCGCACGACGCGGGCTCGCCTACCACCGCCCGCCCCGCCGCAGCCCGAGAGGATCGGGCGCGTTCAGGAAAGGGAGGGGGGGGGGTCGCAGATCATGGCCCAAGGCACGATACCAGGAAACGTGCTGGAAGGAGGAGGAAGCAGACGGAAGGGGTCCCGGGACTCGCTCGGGGGAGGCAGGAGTTCCGGGATGGAGAGACATAGAGAGACAGGAATAAAAAGAAGGGGGGAAAGAGAGAGAGAGAGAGAGAAAGCAAGAGAGAGAGAGAGGGAGAGAGAGGGAGACAGAGAGAGGGAGACAGAGAGAGAGAGAGACAACGAGAGAGAGAGGGAGGAAGAGAGAGAGAGAGAGAGAAACAACAATAATAACAATAATAATAATAATAATAATAATAATAATAAAGAATAATATTAATAATAATAGTAATACTAATAATAATAAGAATAAGAAGAAGAGAGAACAGGTAAACATGTGTCACACACTCCACAACAACATTGCAATTGTAATGTGAATCTGCACACATCTACATCCACACCAAACAATGTTTGCGCCGAGGTTCTCTTACTCATTACCCAAATCATACTTGCAGTTCGGATACCTACTTCTTTTTCGGAGAACTGGGTCCGTGTGCCACCCCGTCCGGCTCGTCGTCGCCCCGTCGCCGCCACATCGCCGCTCGTCGCCGCCCGTCGCGGCCTTGTCGCAGGCTCGTGTGCCGCCCCACCCGGCTTGTCGTCGCTCCGTCGCCGCCACGTCGCCGCTCGTCACCGCACGTTGCCACCTCGTCGCCGCA